TTGCTCATTATGTGATATCCTTGATGGTGACTCTGGCCCCTGTCAGAGTGAAAACAAACTTTGTAGTTGTGGCCTAATTATCTGCACCTTCTGGCTTACTGGTGCAGGTGCGCTTTGCCTTTACTGAAGCATAATTATGAGCCTGTAAACAATGGGAACGGTCATTTAATGGGGTGATAGCATTTGAATTGACTGAGAAGTACCACTGTATAATTACCACACTGCCATACATAATGGAACTCATTCTAAACAAGACTGGCAGGTTCATTGACTCTCTACAGAGTGTTTACTGTGTGGCATTATCTACACAGAATTGTAATAATACCTGTTTCTGTTCAAAGATGGCCTCCTTGAGTTTTCCATTGCTGTTTATTTCTTTTTTTTCATTCAGTCTTTTTCCCCAGTGGGAGTCACCAGGCACTAGATAACAAGACTGACTTAAAGGCCAGAAATGTTACTTTTAACTTTATAATTTCTGTTGAATTTGGTTGGCAAAGTCTTTGCTCATCAAAGCTATTCAGCTGAGCTGAGCTGTTTTTCTGTCAGCAAGGCAGAGCAGGGTTGACAGATTAAAACTCTACCTTTGTTATTAACAAAGCCGACTTTGTTCATTTATTTTCTCATCTTAAGAAACTTCAAAAAAACATCTTTAATTTCTCTGGCACTGCCTTCCTCCCTCTGTATATGTGTGACCCTAGTTAATTAGGAGGAATATATGTTAATGGGATGCTGCTAGCAGACTAATTAAGATTCTGATTAGAGCGAAGATACCGTCAGCCAGTCCCACTGTGTGCGCCTGTGTGATTGTGTGTGTGGCTCGCTTGTTGGGGAAATTGCCCCAGCTCTAACATGCAATGGATGAACAGATTATGCAGTGTATTGGTTTGTTCTCTGGTTGGGAAATGAAACTTAGTTACAAAGGTGAATTTCCATCATACGTAAAAACATGGAGCTCAATTATCTTGCTCAGCCAGAACATGCAGAGTTGGATTTGAGCGGGAGGTAGTTGTAACCAGGGTGCAAACTCCTGATTTGGGCTTGCAGAAGGCCACAGGCTGAATTGCAGTCAGGAACACAGTGATCTATATAATAATGGGTTATTTATGTGGGGGTGGGTAGACCCGTCTGTCTCTCCTTATTGTTTGTGACTACTTATGTCTGTGTGTTTTTGCCAATTTGCGGTGTTGCAGGTTACCACTTTGAACACTACAACATGCAGAGACAGGCTGTCTTTTCCTGGTGGAAGAAAACAAAAGATCTTTCTCTTTTGTCATACATCAGTCAAAACAATAGTGTACTGACGAGCCAGAAAAAGTCATATTAACAGTTGTTTTTTATATCGGTCTTGCCTTCTCCTTCTCTTTCTCCTCATGCGAGTCTCACTATTTTTTGCCTCTCTGTCTTCTCTGTTTGTTTCATTAGTATTTTTGTAGTGGATATTCTCCAGCTTTGCCCACATGCTACACCATGTGCGTTGCTGAGATGAAGTGAGAATCTGAGAACTGCAGGTTTTAAGGAGGAGTGACACTCCTCTGCGGATGGAAAGGAGTCACTTTGTGCCTTCAAAAGTGACTCGCACATCATGACTGATATGAGCACTAACCTGTATATTAAAGAATGAAATGCATAGATGAGATTAATTTATGACCGGGACATATACTTTACTTGAATTCACATTGTACTGAGCTCCACTAACCACTGAAGAAGGAATTAGAGAGACTTTGGTGCAGGATGGTGAGATTACACTTTGTGACTTATTGTGTGGACAGAAATCATAGTTTGAAGTGAGATTTGTAGCTGTCAAACACTGTGATGCTCTTTTT